CCCCAAAACCCCAAAACCCCAAAACCCCAAAACCCCATATCTTGGGTACTGGATTGAAGCGAGGAAAATAGTTGGTGAGGGGAATTATTAGGGGAGAAATTAGTATGAGGTTTAAAACTTGTTAAGTTGGAAGTGGGCATTCTGTGGGAAAATGTGTGTTTTTGAAGAAATTTATGGGGAAAATGTTAAATGCGGTATTGAAGAGGTGTAGTTTTTGGACACGAAAATAGCAGGAGTGTGTTTAAGGAAGGTGGTATTTAAGCACTAAGGAGTATCTGGTGATTATGGATGATTAGCTACCTTTTGGCTTGGTTTAAAGTCAGAATTTCATGATCGTAAATTTTATTTTAACTATTTTCATGAATAATTCTAAAATTAAAGAGTATGATCAAGAACATTCAAATTTCTCATCCCTACAAGCTCAGATTACTTTATATTCCGTTAAAGCATATAGTGAAAGATGGAATTATATTATTATTCCTAACTTTGAATCATTTACTATTTTATCATCCCATTTTAATACTTTCAGCCAGTTCAACTTCGATAAAAAATAAGACAAATTATTAATAGCGTAATCTAATTTCATTTTATTGTATCTAGTTAATTTTCTGATATCTTAGAGACAAGCTTCAGTGCCCCAAACATTCGCTTCCTTCATGTATAAGAAATTGCGGTTTACAAGTCTTCATATTTTTGTTAGACCATCTATTCCAAGAAATTTGTACTGACTCGAGCAACATAAATATCGCTTTCGGAGTAAGAAGTACTATAAAAGACATGCGAAGTTTGCCTCCTATTATTAGCCAAAATTATGAGATTTCATTTTGGGAGAAAAATCATGGTTTTACCTTTTTACATAAAATTCTATAAATATATTAGATTAGGTGAAGACATGGATTTCCTTAATGGTGAGTATAGACTTTACAAAACAATTAATAGGTATTATGATGGCTGTTTCTTAAACTGAGAATTGGCTAAAACATTATCATTGAACACTCTGGAAAGCTTGTCTTTTCCCCAGATTCTATAGCCATTAAATTCACGCGTACTTTTCCTTGCTACATTTAAGCTCTTCTAACTTTTGGTTCAAGATGTAAGGAGATTTTCAGATGCCTGAACTTGATTTTAAGTCAGTTATTTCAGAATGGAATGCTCCAAATTTATTGAAAACATATCCATAAACATTCTTCATGTTCTCTTCGAATAGGATGGTTTTATCAGAAGTCCAGTTATTGTACGGCTTAACTTTATCTTTCTTCTTGCATCTCTTTCTCTCTTCTGTAGAGCTACCAAGAGCTATTTGTGTAGCTCTCTTTAAAGTTGGAGACAATGACTTTATTCTATTCCTGATTTTTTCCAGAGGAGTCTTCCTCATCTTCCGAGTTATCTTTAATTTCCCTGAAATCTTCTTAGGGTCTAATGACGTCAAGTTGAGGTTCTGGATTTTGAGTGAGACTGGAGATCAGATTTGTCTTCTTGAGGTCTTATGTTTCTTTGTCGCATACATCGCTAATGATGCCTTGGCAGACCTCTTTTTGTAACGAGAGGAGGGCGGTGGGCTCACCCACAGCACTCTTCTTCTATAACAATTACAACCATCGCTTATTTTAGGATGAAAAAGTGTAATACAGATTATAAAGAGACTTACTTTTGCATCCAGCTATAATCTAGTGTTTTCTTGCACAAATTTGGCATAGGATGGGTTGTGTCGAGGGTCTGGTCTTTGGCTAGTCTTTTGTTCAGATTCTAAATTTAAAGAGGTTTATATGAAATAGCCTTGATAGGTTTATTTATTTAGAGGCAGAACCTACTGTCTGTATCAAAATTTTGATTTAAATAATGAAAATGAGATCAATTTCATCAAAACAATTATAAAAAATAACAAAAATGCATAAACCAAAATCACCTACACTTCTACACCTTCAAACATCTCCAAGTTACCCCTTTTCCAAATAATCTCAAAATTAATATCAACACAATCTAAATTCCCAACAATTTTCCTCCTTAGCCCCTAAATCTCCCCTCCAACCCTCCTCCAATGCCCTCATCCTCACCCCACTTCTCTTACCTGCCTCTCTTCCACTCCTCTAAACCTCCTCTTGTTTCACCCAATTTTCTTCATTTCTCAAATTTGTTCCATTTTCAATTATTTTTCCCATTTTCGGGGTTTTGGGGTTTTGGGGTTTTGGGGTTTTGGGGTTTTGGGGTTTTGGGG